AGAATCAGTTGACATCTGACCGAGCAACGTTTGGCTTCCCACTGGTGGGACACTCTATCAAGGGGAGATCATGGTTTCAATACAGCGACATACTCCAAATACTAGAACCGCGTCTTACCATTTCGCCATCTTACTGTATGTTAAAGGAGTTTCATTCCAACGTAGGGTGCCAAGGCTGAGCGCCTTTACGAGTGGGGGCATGAGAGGGGGATGAAAAAGGGAGAAGGACTTGATGTCTTTTTACATTTATAATTCGGCATTGGAGGAAGACTTAGATGGGAGGTAGCCACTGACTGTGTCTGCATCATTATGGGGAAGGACGCAGGTCCATGTTTCATATCTCATGTGCGCATGTGATTTGAGATGTTCCCAGGATGATAACCCCTTCTCATTACATGCTACGGCCTACATATACATACGAGTACAGGTGTGTCCATATAGGGGAAACACTCACAAAGAATAATACAAGTCAATAAATATTTGTTAACAAGCCGGTAGAATGCTGTATAATCTTGTGGTGTCGGCGAATAGTGTTTGTTCATCAACCGGGTGGAAGGTGTTCGTGGTTCGTGAGAGTGTTGCTTTACAATCGAGTCGACACAAAAGAGGTGTTAGAACACAGTCACAACTTCGGTAGGTGCTATGTTAGGTGCTTTGTATAGCGTCGATACCGAAAATAGGGCCCCTTAAAAGCAGTAATGTCGTCCATCCAGTTTGCACAGACGCCTGCACATAGGCGAGCACTGTTGCCATGCCAAAGGGGGACGTTGCTTCCCGTGTTGAAGTGAGCTAAATTTTGCAGTGAGGTACCTGAGCTCTAATTTCCATTTCCACCTTCCAACTCTTCGTCCTTCATCTCTCCCAGGCACATCATTTTCTCAATCAACTCCCCTTTTGGAACCCTCCGTTCTACTCACCAGTACACTCACACTTCTCTTCATTCCTCGACCTGCCTGCTACTCCGTTGTTTTGTATAATGACCACCAATTAACTCATCACTGTTCACTAATCCTGTTCTGCCATCTCCCACTACACCCCTCATTCCTGTTGATGTTGCCCTCTTTTCCTTTTTGGCGCTTGAGGCCTGTGGCAAGGTCTAGCATTTACCTAGGCTATCGTCCCTTTCAGAATGGGTCGGCTTCGTTCCAAGTAAGTTCCTAGCTATCGTCATTTCGGTCGTTTCGGTTCAATTACCGCCTCTCAAGTCACACACCTCGCGATCTCCTAGCTTAGTCCCAGTCGTATAGCTCTCGCTAACAAATGATTAGGAGTACCGGCTGTCAATCAAAACGGTCAGAATCGCAGCATGAACATAGTAATGGCAACGATGATGACGAGCTCTACGTTCCTGGCAGTGGAGGTATCTACATCACCAGGACTAAAGGCGGAAAGCCAGCCTTTGGTCGCAAGAAGGAAAGCCTGTTGAGAGATTGGGGCTTCGATTCTTTTGGCTACGTTTTTGGTATTCCTTCCTACAAGGAACTAGAGAGGAGTATTGAGCGGCAGACCCGTCGTCGCGCGAGCTTCAGCTCTCAATCCCAAAGTTCAGCCCTCACCACACCTTCGAGCTCAAGTCGCATATTCACGCCACGCGGAAGGCCTAGCAAACGCAGCTATTCTCCCGCGGCTACTGGGACAAGCAGTGTCAGGTCTCATTCTTCTATTCCCACGACAATTAGCAAAGGCAGTCTCAAAAGCAGTCTTCGGTCTAGTTCTACTTCTACCCCCGCTCGTTCCTGTCGCCGTGGCGGTAGCAAGACCACTAATTCAGACCACGGTGGGACGCCTGAAGCAAGAAATGCAACAATTTCATCTGGTCTTATCTACCCGCCGACACCATCAACATCAGTGCCAGCTTCTCCATCCCATCCTTTGCCCTTATTGTCGAATCTTGGCAATAGCTTATCCGCAACGCCCAACGTACCAATTACTCCAGCTGTTGGCAATCGAGGACTTGCTATTCAGAGCCCCAACACTAACGGTCTTCTGTTTATACCGTTGAGTCACCACTATGCACAGCCCCCGGTCTTTCTAGGTTCTCAACCGACCTCGATACCTTCTTACTTTCAACACAGCCAGCCTGCAGTACAACAAACCGAAATTAGATCTACCTACCCTATCAGTGGACCTGTATCGGGCACAGCACCTCTGCCCACGTCCTCGTTTGCGTATCCACCATTCCCACCCAGCCAATTACGAGGCGGTGGGGGCCCAGCAGTCCTGAATAATCCCCTCGGGTTCAGTTTCAACGAAGCCAAGAAGTGCGAGGAGCATTATAATGCAGTTCTGAAAGCTGATAAACAGGAAACAGAAAATAACGAGGGCAAGGAAAAGAACAAGAAAGGGAACAAGGCTAGGAACCAGGAGGGTATCGGTAAACATATCCAACATGTCCACTTCTGCGCAGGTTGTGGGCGAATGCGATCTAAGGGGTACCAGAAGACGCACCCTTTGGAAAGAGGCCAAATACCGCAACCAGACTACTGCGCCAAATGCCTACGTGATGCCGCTCTCATGGAATATGGTGACACCGGCGGCACATCCATCGCTCGGGTATGTCGCTAAGAACTCGTCAAAATAAGTTTAAGGCTAACAATTAATTTATAGTATATCGATGAAGATACTATGTCTGCTACCGGCACCGATGCACCTGGTGCTTCGCCGAGCAAGAAGGAACCAAAGAACTGTCGTACCTGTAAATGGTTGAAGTTGAAAAAGCCGAGACGTCTCAGCTTCTTGTCGGGCATCCTATCCAATTCGACTGCCTCGGAATATCGTCCTAGGCCACCTTCGTCTGTATCTTCTACTGGAGAACCGGAATCCAAAGTGTCAGACTCTGTCACAGATCTGGGTATAGAATACGATCGGACGAAGTACAAGATGTCATCTGCTGGAGGTGTTTCCCGCAGGATCGACGACAGTGCGCTTCCATTACCATCCAATATGTCTAGACGTTCTCAGAAGGTTCATTCTAGCAAGGATAAGGGACTGATTCCGAAGAGCGACGTTTACACCACAAATATTAGCGAGCCAGCTAGAGAGACATTAAGACGGACTGCACAGGTGTTCGAACCGGATGATTCTTCGGGCGATATCTATAATACGACGCCTCCTAAAGTTCCAACCACCGGGGGGTACTCCAAGACCCGACGACAAGACTTTCCTAAGTTCCCTCACAAAGACAGACCCAAGGCTTTTGTGCAGAGTGTCTCGGACTACTCAGAGGAAACAGACTGCCTCGACTACAAAGTTCGGAATGAGACATATGAGATCGTGGACGAAGACTATAGGTGTGCTAGCGCTTCTAGTACGGCCCGTGAAACATCTAGGGTACCTTATTCCAAGGCCCATCGCAGCACTTCCTCGTCTAAGGAACCAAACCGTGGAGTTCATAGTTGGAATGATACATACGGGTCCACTTATGAACACCAGCAAACAGCTGCACACACGATGACCGAGTCTGAGCAACCTATTCGAGATTCGGAACTTGGTTGGCGAAAGCATTCCGATCGTAGACGAATTCGACGGCACCAAGACGAACGAGGACACCACACTAAGACACGTTACCGTGGTGCTCGAGAATCATACATAGACCGCTCGATCGACACTGAACTTGATACGCCGGACGACCCTAACCATACTTTCAAGTGGGATCTTCCGCCTACGCCTACAGATATACCGTACGCCGGTGGAGCCTCTGGTCCGTATTTTATGCGCGAACCTTGGGGAATCAGCGAAGAGGACATGCACCAAATGGAGCGAGAAGCTGAGGAATTGGCTGAGAAGTATCTGGCATCGGCTGGTAAGCTCTTCAGCAACATGACAACTACCTCTGGTGATTCTAGCCCCTCCAAAATCCCTATTGTGACGTGCACAGAGTTCTCGATAGGCACGTATGATTTTAACGAAGAGCTCGACCCTAACGTTCCTACTGCTACTATGTTTGAACTAGTTGAGAGTTCTGACACAAGTGAGATAGTTGATCAGGAGGAGAGATCGGCCAAAACGCTTAGTAAGTATCCGGGAGGGGGAAAAAGAACAGCTGTGCCCTGAGAATTAGTTCATGCAACTAACTTGTCATTTAGCATTCTTCGGCGAAGGCGATCTTGATCAGAAGGCCCCTGTGCGTACTCGAGGCCCGATCCCCTCGACGGATCACGCCTCTCGAGGACCTCGAGGACCTCGAGGAGACCAAGCCGAGTCTTCAAAGAAAGCATCCAAGAAGAACGCAAACAGCTTCGGTGTGAGAGAATTGAGTAGCTCCTCAAATCTGCCGTCTCTGAATGCCCAATCCTCCATGGTTGTCCACACGGGCCATTCAGCGGAGAATATGCGACCACATTTGATGGACTATACTAGCTCGACTGTTCCTGGAAGACGTCGACGCATCCGTCGGCCTTCTTGTACTTGACTGCTGTTGTTACAGTTATCTACTAACCTGGTTTTATGTCTGGTGTTGTGACGTCTGACACTGCACAAACAACGGAAACACATGTTGAAAGGCTCTCGAGTCGATGTTGGTGTGAGTTTCTAACGCATGTGGCTGGCTTTCGATTCTAACTCATCTTTACCTTCAACCAGTAATCTCATATGTCACGCTGCTGAACTCTAGCAGTTGAGGGCATTGTGAGTGATTATCGGTGGGGTGCAGAAGAGTTGCTTGTATTATTAACTTGTTGAGACTGTACGTACAGAATTATCCTTTCATCCTGCGGACGCGAGTTTCTCCGTGGTGATATGAATGGTGGATTGCATTCTTTAGCTACGTAGTCTAAGGGGAGGGTTCCCAAGGTCTATGACATGAGGTCGCCGATACATTCCATAATGATTAATGTTTAATGTTTAATTTTATGCAATACGATTGATCCTACAATGAAGTAAATCGCCGACAGCAAGGGACTCATTATTTTACGGGCACGTGACTTATCGACATAGGACGCACAAGCTATTTGCTATATAGGCTGCATATAACGCACAAAATTTTAACGAATTACGACTCAGCCCGACTAGCTCATCGGTAGAGCGCCTCACTAGTAATTCTTCATTCGGAGTGGAGATTACATTGAAATGAGGAGGCAACAGGTTCGATTCCTGTGTTGGGCAGCAGTATTTACTTTTGCTTTTTCAATATTCCAATATCAGTCGGTTATGTTTTGATTTGCTTTTTGCTTGCTTGTCCTTTTACCACTCTCCATCTAAAGTCAGTTCGTTCGTATTGTCTGTCCTAGACAGGCTGGGAAATGTCTGTGCTCATTCATAGTTCCATTGAAAACATTGTCAGTGAGGATAGATAGGAGTCTTGTGATGTAAAAAAAGGTCATCGTTATGAAATGCCTTCGTAGCACGCAATGTTTGATTAGTCTTGGATCCTCAGCTTGACTTTTAATTCTGGGTGACATTGGAGAGAAATTTGCCTGAGGCGGCTAGATGTATATGGTGCGGACTCGTAGTTTCAAGATTCATCACTTGGGCTGCTGCGTTCCTCGCACGTGTTTTACAAAGCTTAGGGAATATACTCTTTTTTCCTGCCTCGATTTTTTAATACCTGTACATGGCCAAACCATTGACCTCCAGCAACATTCCCCAGCATAACCAGCAACTGTAAAGTGACGGCAGGCAGCTTCAGCTTATATGTCACATAACTGATTACCTGCTTTCATTTCAGCGCAACCCTTCACATCTAACACCCCTTATACCCTTAAATTCATTAATCTACTCTAAGAACCCTGGGACCGCGCTTCTTGGTCGCCTTCTTCTTCTTGTGTCCCCTCTCGAACGAGGCGGCCGCCGCGTGATCTCGGCCCACGTTGTCGAGGTCCTTCACCTTGTAGATTCTGATGATCCAGTTCTCGCTAGTGTACGCCTCTTCCAGTGTGTTCAGGACCGGGCCCTGGTCGGGAAGCCGGGCACCTCGGACACGGTCTTGGGCCTGTCCGGGAGGGAAGAGGGATGCATAGTTGTAGTATGACATCTTGTACCTAAATTGGGAAAGGGAGCGTTAGAAACAAGGTGATCTCCCCGGATCGGCATGGGATAAAAACTTACATTAAGCTGTTCTTCATGGTGTCCGAGGCCTGATCATCGACCCTGTATTCGCCCCTCGGAGTGAAGAAATCACGCTCCTTGACCTCATCGGGCCAGATACCTTCGGCAATCCTCACCATCCAGAGGAACTTGTTGATATCATCGCCCGAGTAACCCAGGAGACCACCGAAGACGACAAGGACGTAGTCGACTTCGTGCTGGCGCATGATCGGGTAGCTAACTTCTTCCCGAGAACTCATTGCTTTGCCAACAGTGGCGATGTGGGTGTTGTTCCAGGTATTGTTGTCGACGAGAGTTGGACGGTCGGCCATTCCACCGATTTGGTAGCCATAGTCCCACCAAGACATGATCTTGGCGTCCTCCTTAGTGTTCTGTCGAAGCCATTGGTAGGCCTCACGGTAGTCATCGATGATGTGTTGGCTACCATCTGGCATCCTGCTTGCTAAGACTACGGAAGGAGACGAGTATGCGTTTGAGGTGACCCAGGTGCAATGCTGTACAAAGACAAGTAGGTACAAGGTCATGCATCCAGCCACGAAACCCTTTGACAATAAGTTGTAAATGCCAACTACGGGTTGAGATGCGGTTCGTAGGACACCATGTTTCGATGCCTTCTTTCCAGCTGCATCGGGATTCTCCTCGTTATCAGCCGGCTCCGGCGATTTAACGACAAGGTACGCGTCAAGAAGTTGGGAGACAGCGATGGCAGCAGCCACACAAACCACCGGCGTCAGAGTAAGCATCAATCGCACCATGACACCAGCGAAGTAGCTTCCGAACAGAGCGTACACAATGATGAACACGTGCTCGTCTTCCAGCTTCTGGAAGCAAAGGTAGACACCGGCGGGGAAGAGCCAGATCAACATGTTGAGATCAAAAAAGAAGGCCGGCCAGGCGGTAGGTTGATGTTCAGACACGGACGCAATAATCGGAATGTGGATCTTGGCATAGCCGGTATCCCAGAGAGAGTAGAATCGACCGGACCAAGGAGCGATGTATCCAAAGGTGGTAAGGCCAACCAGGGCAAGTAATGAAATGCCAAAGATACCGCCCAAACCGACATAGAGGAAGGTCTGGAACTGGCGGCTTGGGACGGCTGAACGGACATATTCCAGGAAAGCCACGAGCTGAAGGAATCCGAAGATACCAAGGGCGGGCATGTGCTCGCTGGTGCGGACCGGCAGGAAACCGACGAATGGAATCTGCATGCTGGCTAAAGTGCCGAGGGCATACCAGGTTGTGTACGAGGTGTAGAGGCGCATGCTAAATCTCCCCATACAGATGAGTACAAAGGCATGTAGAGGGACCAAGCACGTAATGAAGGCGTATCCACCCCAAGAAGCTACCATGTAACCGTAGAAGAGAGCGCAGAGAGCACCCCATAGCACGGAACCTAGCTTCAAGGCTTTGATCCAGAGATAGAAGGTAAATACCAAGAGGAAGATTGCGATAGCCTCGTTATCGTAGGAACCAGCCACGGATCTCGAGATGTAGCCTGGGGCAATGCCCATGAAAACTGCAGCGAGAAGACCGGCAGACGGGGAGGTGGTCATCTCGTTGGTAAGGAGGTAGGAGGCATAGGCAGTCAGGCCAGAGAAAGCCGGGGCCAGAAGAACACAGATGTTTCTGATGTCGACGGGAACAGTCAAGGCCCGTAGGAGGTGGTAGATAACACCGCTCGTGACCATCAAGCCGGGATAGAGAGTACCTCCGGTAACTCGACCGAGAGGATGCCATGTTCGATCGTCAAACCAGTCCCAAAAGTCATAGAATCCATGAGAAACGAGGTACTTGGTCGCTCGGAAGTTGAACCACGGATCGACTGCGCAGTGTCAAAGTTAGAGGGGATTGGGTAGTAGGGTATATCAGGAAGGGAAGTCAACTAACACTCGTGGATGATGCTCTCGAAGCCTGTGATTGACAATTAGCAGATTTCCCAAGATACGAATAGAAGGAGTAGCGTACGGATAACTGAGAAGAGCCGGCTTGCAACAGCAGCGGCAGCAATGAAGCCGAGAATTATGACCCGTAGCAAAGTCTTGGTACTCTGGTTCTTGCCCACGCTGACGAGCAACTCGACGGGCGAAGAGCTGGGCCTGGTGTCTCTTGCGACAGCCGCCATTTTTGGGAGTGGTTGCCTCGAGACAATGCAACTAAGTGGTAGACGGCGTCAACATTTGAGAAGGTAAAGAGTGCTGGATTGGAAGTTGAAATTCGTCGAACTCGGCCGCAATGGGTAAAACGGCGGAAGTGGTGATTGAGGACAGCTGGAGCTTTCAATCCGCGCGTCGCATCTGCAGAAAGAGCTCCACGTCTGCAGGGGTCCTACCTTACAATTATGTATCTATTCAATTAAAAGTACTTGGGTACGAAGCATTGAGTTTACGCCGTCACCACGCACATGGTAGGGGTTTAGGTACATGTAACGGCCGGCAAGGCTAACCAATCAGAAAGGGAAAGGACGCAATTCATATAGCAAGTACATGAGTACATAACAAACATGCGATACCTTACATTATGTACGTATATGTTTGTACCTGAGCACATGCAAGTACATATTATGATATCTGCATTTATAGTACATAATGTATGAAATAGACATCATCAATGTTAATTCTCAAGACTACCTTAGGTACATTTATATCAAAGATTTTGCTGAAATATGAATTAGGCGTCTGATTGACTTATGCAGCATATCTGGAAAAGCAGCTTTCAATGTTTTGGATTAAATATAGAAATGCGTATTTGAAAACAAGCTGGGTAACATGAGCACATTTACTATGAGGTAGGTGGTACTTCATCTCCCTGCTCTTCGAACTCCAACTCCTACTTGTAAGTATTCCCAAGTGAGCTGATACGTTGTGATGAGATGGTTAGAGTCAGTTCAAGTTTCTCTTTGGCCTATAGGGAGATACGCATAGCATGCGATATATGAACACCAGGATCTGAGGAGGTCTAAAAATCACTCAAGGAAATCGAACTTGGTCGTAGAAGGCCGTACCATAAACCTCATGCATGATCCGGCCGTCCTAATGGTCTAGGTGAGCATAAGTCTTGGTATTGTACACATGTACAGCGTGAAACCCAAGGAAATCTATGAGGTAGTTTTGCGGACCGTATCGCAATTATACACAGAGCCCGCGAAGCCATCACCACAGGCACGGCTTCGATCCGACTTTCCGTTCAGCCCCGAGTTCACTCCCAGCCCTCTCTGTCCCCAGACTCCATGGTATTCCGCACGCAGTTGATCCGGCATTATTATTACATCCTTATGGCTTTTGCGCAACAAGAGCGTTGAAGTAGGCTTCTAGGTCGAAGTTGGGATCCATCGGGTCTTGGTTCACTAATGCGGGCTGTCAGTATGTATAGTCCACTGCTTCCTACTTGGAGATGGGAGAACATACGTCCGCTCTTCTCAGTTGTCGTGCTAGCCGGGCTCTTAGATTTCGCATACTCGGCCTTGGCTTGCTCTATTAAGTGTTGCTTGTGCTCATACTCCTTCTGTGCCGCGGCCGCCCTTTGCGCTGCGTTGATCGATCTCTGGTGCGTAAAACCGTAGAAGACACCGAAGGCAAGGGCCGAGTACCGGAGCACCTGTGAATAACGCTGTTAGCTATGCCGTTCGTGAAGCTCGGGCGTACGGCACAAGGAATCGTACGTTGACTCCTGAAGTGGTAGACATTGGGCCGGTTTGGAGCGCGGACGCTTGTGGGAGGGAACGAGCGATCAATTAGCGATGCACGGGTAGGCGTTCGGATGCCAATTGGCCCTGTTCCGGGGGAGGAATTGTCGAGGGTTGAGGTTCGAGATGGGATGTGGAATGGTGAGGGCGTGGGCGTGGGCGTGGTACGGAAGTATGGACGGCGTCGGGAAATTTCGCAGACTTATTTTTTCCAAACCACAGAGCCACAGCTGCCATTGCTGGCCACGACCTAACGAAATCGATACATGCGCCAGTACTTACCGGAGCTTTGTTGGTGGGGCAGTCGTGAGCGCGGCCGTTGAGAATTTGGCCAATTACGGTTGTCAGTTAGATAAAGACCTAGGTACTGCCCAAG